GGGATATGATAGATATGATGGTGCTTACCTTTAAAGAGATTATGTTAGAGGTTTTGTGTGATATGATAGATATGATTGGGCTTACCTTTAAAGATGTTATGTTAGGGGTGTTGTTTGATATGATAGATATGATGGGGCTTACCTTAAAAGTGTTTATGTTAGGGGTGTGATGTGTGACATGATAGATATGATGAGGCTTACCTTTAAAGAGGTTATGTTAGAGGTTTTGTTTGATATGATAGATATGATGAGGCTTACCTTTAAAGAGATTATGTTAGAGGTTTTGTGTGATATGATAGATATGATGAGGCTTACCTTTAAAGAGGTTATGTTAGAGGTTTTGTGTGATATGATAGATATGATGAGGCTTACCTTTAAAGAGGTTATGTTAGGTCTGTGTTATTTGATGTAATAGATATGATGGGGCTTACCTTTAAAGAGGTTATTTTAAGATGTGTTGTTTGATATAATAGATATGATGGGGCTTACATTTAAAGATGTTATGTTAGGTCTGTTTTGTGTGATATGATAGATATAATAGGGCTTACCTTTAAAGAGGTTGTTTTAGGGGTGTTGTGTGATATGATAGATATGATTGGGCTTACATTTAAAGATGTTATGTTAGGTCTGTTTTGTGTGATATGATAGATATGATTGGGCTTACATTTAAAGATGTTATGTTAGGTCTGTTTTGTGTGATATGATAGATATGATGGGGCTTACATTTAAAGAGGTTATTTTAGCTGTGTGTTGTGTGATATGATATATATGATGGGGCTTACCTTTAAAGAGGTTATGTTAGGGCTGTGTGGTGTGATATGATAGATATGATGGTGCTTACCTTTAAAGAGGTTATGTTAGCTGTGTGTTGTGTGATATGATAGATATGATGGTGCTTACCTTTAAAGAGGTAATTTTAGCTGTGTGTTGTGTGATATGATAGATATGATGGGGCTTACCTTTAAAGAGGTTATGTTAGGGCTGTGTGGTGTGATATGATAGATGTGATGGGGCTAACCTTTAAAGAGGTTATGTTAAGGGAGTGTGGTTTGATATGAAATATATGATGGGGCTTACCTTTAAAGAGGTTATGTTAGGGCTGTGTGGTGTGATATGATAGATATGATGGGGCATAACTTTAAAGAGGTTATGTTAGGAGTGTTTTGTTTGATTTGATAGGAAGTCACGCGTTATGCGTGTAAAGAGCACTAACTAGGGCTATAGAAAATCTCGTGCACTGTGTTAACATTCAAACTAGGGCGATAGAATGTCACATGCGCTGAGCGTGAAGAGCACTAACTAGGGCTATAGAATGTCTCGTGCCCTGAGTAGGAAGGGCACTAACTAGGGCTATAGAATGTCTCGTGCCCTGAGTAGGAAGGGCACTAACTAGGGCTATAGAATGTCTCGTGCCCTGAGTAGGAAGGGCACTAACTAGGGCTATAGAATGTCTCGTGCCCTGAGTAGGAAGGGCACTAACTAGGGCTATAGAATGTCTCGTGCCCTGAGTAGGAAGGGCACTAACTAGGGCTATAGAATGTCTCGTGCCCTGAGTAGGAAGGGCACTAACTAGGGCTATAGAATGTCTCGTGCCCTGAGTAGGAAGGGCACTAACTAGGGCTATAGAATGTCTCGTGCCCTGAGTAGGAAGGGCACTAAACCAGGCCATAGTAGGCCCAGTGATCGCCACGTTTATTTTCAAACAAAATGTGTGTGGTTTATTTTTGTTTATTTTAAAAGCTTCTTGACACACAATTTTAACTAAAGCAAAGAAAAAGTTAAAGAAATTTTCAGGTTAATTTTTTTAGATATGTGTCAATAGTTCCAAAGCTTAGCTTTGAAGTGAATATTCTGTTACCTATGTCACGCCAGCATTACTCAGACACTAAAGCGGGCTGTATTAATGTATGAAAAAACTTGTGCAGACCGAAAGATAATAGGATCGTGGGGGGGGGGGGATGGAGTTATTAAGAAAATAATAATAATAATAAAGAATGTTTAGTTAATTCGCGGGCCGCAAAGTTAGACGGTGGGCCGCATAACGTAAACAACGTCCTTCTTGTATTCGACTTGAAGGTCATATTGTTGTTGACATGAGTGCGACAGCACTTCAGCGAAATAACACAGTTATGGACTGTAAGGTTGAATGGGTTGTGGGGGGGGGGGGGGTGAGTT